CATCGGTTTGATGTTTCTGTTACATCGCTCCGTGATGTTCGACTGCGGGTGGTACGGCGTGGTTGTTCTGTGCTTTATGCCAAGGGCCTCGCACGCGTCCACGAATACCTTCCCGACGAAGTAGCTCGCTCGATCAGTCAAAAGAGCTTCGGGGAACCCAAAACGGGTGAAAACCTCCATGAGCTTCTCCGTGATCGCTCGGGCTGTCAGCTTACGGAGTGGAAAACGTTCCGTCCATTTGCTAAAGTGGTCAGTTACGACCAGCAAATACTGGTGTCCTTTAGGGCTCCTCGGTAGGGGGCCAACCACGTCGCAGGCTGCCAGAGACCATGATTGCTGGCTCGGAATCGGTTGCATTGGGCCGGGGGTTTGCCGCCTCTTGTTTTGAAGCTTTGGCAAGAGTGGCAGGTGCGGGCGTAACGGAAAACGTCCCGTTTCATGCCCGGCCAGGTGGCGATGCGACGTAACTTTGAGTAAGTCTTGGGGCCGCTCGCGTGTCCGGCCAAGTGCGAGTCGTGATAGTAGCGCAAAACTGCGTTTCTCAGAATGCGGGGCAGTGGCGGATCCAAGGGGGGGCCGGTGGGAGCGATCGCCCCCCCCCCCCCCCAAACGCCTCGCCAGGCAACCCCCCCCCCCCCCCCCCCCCCGGAGTTCTTCGTCAGCTCGAAGAAAAAACGTAAGCAATCGACGCGAGTACAAAAGATTAAAACAGCGTTGGGTGGACGCGCCTGCTGGGCGCTTCCAAAGTGGGGTTTATCTCCGTCAAGGTCACGGTACGTCTTCCCGACAGGGACGACGCCAGGAGTTTTGAAGTGGAAAGACAGTGGGGAGGCGCACCAAATATCAGGGTCCTCGACTGCAGGCACACTTCCAAACAAGGCCCGCACGTCTAGGGTGCCTCCATGTGCGCAACATGAAGGCTCCATAAGCACGTCGAGCACGGGGGGAAAATACATTCAACATATCTAGTCACTTTTCTCTCTCTCTCTCTCTGTCTCCCTCTCTCTCCTTGGAGGTTGTCTGCGAAAAATGTGTGCCCTGAAAGCTCCCAAACGCAAACGCCAAGCAGCCTTCCTCAAGGGTACGATCCTATACACAGCGGATTATCCTTCCTCTCTAGAGGCCGCCTTTCATCACTTTTCGTTTGATGGTTTCTTTGTGGTTTTGGGCTTGTCTTTTGGCATGGTACAGTGTAGTCTGGGTCTGAGCTTTTCCTGAAGACGCTCCGGACTTCCCCACGACCTTGGCTTAAACATAAGCCCGCTTTCGTCTTCACCGCAGCGCGGAATACAGAAAGAAGCCGACGAGCGCCAGAAGGGGGAGATACTTCCTCTAATGGGCTTCATACTGCCTGCGGTACGACTTCTCGCGGCGGGAAGCTAATAAACGAAAGATTAACGGTAGGAGCACTTTAAAGAATAGAGGCTGCTTACACGGGGTTCTCAAGCCGACGCCGTAGGCATTTATTTGTATACAATGCCGTTTCAACTTAGGGTGGCGGGACATAATTTAGGAAAGGCGCCCGCTACCCCTTGTCTCCCCTTGGCGCCGTCTTTACTTCTCGAGTTAAACGCGGCTTCTGTGGATTGACGGCAGGGCTTTCGCGCGGCTTTGCAGGAGCAAATATGTGTGTGTCGAACGGAACAGAGGCGGGGCTTGCTGGTTTGCAACTGCGGCTTCGAATTCCTTAACTAGGGACTTGGGGAAAACGAGCCCCTTCAAAAATGCGACTATACATGAAAAAAAAAAAAAAATAGACAGCGCCTGTGCCCGTTCGAGTGAACACCGACTCCCGAACATCCATGCTGCAGTCGTGATCGGCCTTTAGCCCAGTTGAGATTCGCCGACCGGACAACCGCTCTGCCCCATTATATCTCTGCACCTTTCCTCTCGACCGCGACGAATGAGCTAACTACCCAGAAACAAGTAAGTGTTCCTTTGATACAGAAAATATCCAGACGAAGTACAATTGAATATAATTTGGAAGGATCCATCTAAGTTTAAAAGTTATAGTTGCCGAACTGCAACGTGCTTTCAAAAATATTCAACAATTATTTGCTTTCGTTCTCTTGAGTTGCATCCAGAACACGTGAAAACACGAGTTTGTGTTGGCAATGCCGCATGCGCTGCGCTCTGGACATTCCAAATATACGGCGAACAACCGACGAACTTGCCTGGCAGCGTTCGTTTCGCTCGTTGCGTCAACAAAGTTTTGACGCTGCGAGCAGCGTCGAAGCCGCCGGGCCATTTTTGGCGCTAGATAGCAACGTATTCGCTCCATTAAAGCAACCGGCGACAATGAAAAGTATGTTTTAAAACCACGTTCTGCATTTTGGCACTGAATATAAAGTTCTAACTACTATGCCAAGCTTAATCTAAAAAAACAGCCGAGTTTTATATTAAAACGTTTTTCGCATTGTCATTAGCTGCATGAGCTTCCTCCATATAGTTGGCAAAGGTTGGCTCTCCGTACATGCTCTGCGGGTGTAACGAGAATATATAAATATTCAAGCAAAAGGAGCCCACAAGTTGTAGCCCCGCCGGGGATATCTGAGCCATCAAGTTACACTGTCTGGAATTGTCACCGCCGCTATAGCACCATACATTCACTTCCAGTAGTTAAACTTCTTCTATTTCTAGCGCGCTGCCACGCGGACGGAGTAATCCCGTTTCCTATGAACTACAAAATTCCTTGCGTTATGGTGTTCAGAAAGGATAGTGCCACCACAATTTTCGAGATACTTACCTCTAGCGTGGTCACCCGAAAGGTTTTAATTCAAAGAGTTCATCCCCGACAGGTAAAGCAGTACAAAATTTCTCAAGATGTATATTATGTTATCAGTTTAGTAAAAACGATAACTCCACAAAAAATATAACCCCCCCCCCCTCGTTTTACACCGAGGAACCGCCCCCCCCTAAAATGGAGGTCTGGATCCGCCCCTGCTGCGGGGTACCACTACCTTGAACGCCTCGTCGGAGTCGTTCTCGGAGGGTATGTACCTCAGCAAGAGCCCGTCATTGCTCAGCAGATATGAATCCTCCGTGCCCGCACCAATACCAGATAGGTCCCGGCACTCGGCGCCTACTACAATATCAGTAGTGTTGCGCCCGGCGGTCGCACCGCCCGCCTCCACGGCGTCCGACTCTTCCGCGAGTCCGTCGATCACCTTTCGACAAAACAAATCATTCTCCTTTGCTTTCAGAAGCTCTTCTTTGCTAAACACGATTCCCACGGCGCTCACTGCGTCTAGGTGGTTGATCGTCTCGTCCGGGGTGGTCAGATCTGCTGCCTCCCTTTGGGACTGAGTCACGGTTTCGCCTGACACTGTGAGTGTCGTTGGGTCGACCTGGGTCTTTGCGGAAAGCTGTGTGCAGTCTACGGGGGCTCGTGACAATGCGTCCGCCACCACGTTTGTGCTGCCTTTCCGGTACCGCACGACGTAGTCGTATTTTTGCAGCATCAAAGCCCATCTTGCCAAGCGACCAGCGGGTTCGCGAAGTCGGGAGAGCCATGTTAGGCTTTGGTGATCTGTTTCGATCACGAAAGTGGTCCCGTCGACATAAATGTCGAAACGCCGGAGTGCAAAGACGATGGCCATGTAAAAACTTCCTCCAACAGCCTCTGATATCACAAGCGATTTAATCTGAGCAGCTCGTCATAGCGGTTGCACGATCAGTCCAGAGAAAAAAAAATTGTGCGTGCCCGGGCCTCTGATGGCACGAGATCCTCCTTTTCCTCGCAGGTCTTTTCTCCCAGTCGCGAGATGCTGTTATGTTTAACAGGCTCGCACCGCGGACTTGTTGCAGACCTCCAGTGGGTAAAGAAGTTGGACTGGTCTCCTAAAAGTTCGTCCGTCCGGCAGTCGTACTTCACACGAGCGAATGATATTGTCTCGTCCAGGGTGCACTTCTGTTATTCGTCCCACCTTCCACGTTGCTCTTGGTCGTCTCGCATCGTGAATAATTACCACGTCCCCGACAGCAATAGGCGTTGTGTTCTTGGGCGGAGTGTGGTGGGCAGAGCGAAGTTGCAAAAGATACTCCTTCATCCACCTGTTCCAAAACTGCTGTGAAATTAGTTCTCGGTAGCTCCATCGCCGTCTTAGTTCACGCGATGTCTGCGGGTTGGAGCTCATTTGCTTCATTGTCGGCAACGACAGAAGTCGTTTTCCTACTAGGAAATGTGCAGGTGTTAAAATTGTTGGTTCCCGTTGATCTGAGTAAAGAAATGTTAAAGGACGCGAGTTCACGGCGGCTTCTACTTCCTGTAACACCGTCGATAACTCTTCAAAATTAAGATAGCTTCGTGCTAGAACCTTCCTGAGGGAGGTCTTGACTGTCCGTATCACTCTCTCCCAGAAACCTCCCCACCATGCGGCTCTTTCGGCGCTAAATTTCTAGGTAATGTGATGGTGGGCGACATAGTCTTGTACATCCTGATGTCGGAGCAGTTCCCAGACAGCTGATATATCTCTTGCAATTGTCTTAAGCGCCAAAGCGTTGTCTGAATAAAGTATGTTTGGCAGTCCTCTTCTGGAAACGAACCGACGTAAAGCCATCAAGAAGGATTGAGCAGATGTGCTCGCTGTGAGCTCGAGGTGAACTGCTCGTGTGACTGCGCATGTGAAGATGGCGATATACGACTTCTCGTTCTTTTGTTCCTTTGTGTAAAGTGGACCAGCAAAATCGATACCCACGACGTTGAATGGGTGCGTCGCCTCAATGCGTTCTTTTGGCAGTGGTGCCATAGGAGCTGATGCGGCCCTCAAGTGTGTCCTTGCACACTTGGTGCAGTTTCGCAGAGACTTCTTTACGGCTTGTCTTCCGCGTACAATCCAATACTGTTCGCGCAATTCAGTTAAAGTATCTGCTACTCCTCCGTGAAGCACCCGCTGATGTGCGCTGCATATAAGTAACTCGGTGAAGCGATGTGCGTTGGGGAGTATGATGGGGTGTTTAAGGTCTTCTGATGCATTTAGTTGTTGGAGACGACCGCCTACGCGTAAAACTCCGACGTCATCTATGAAAGGTGTCAAATCTTTTAGTTTCGATGACGTGCTCAGCGGCCTTCCATTTCGTATGCTCTGAAGTTCTCCCGAGAATTCATTTTTTTGTGTGACCTTTATCCAGTATTGTTCCGCTCTTTTGAGTTCTGCCGTTAAAAGGTAGTTAGACAATTCCTTCAGTGCGCCAGTGTTTTCTTTGAAACGGTAAATCCAAGCAGTGACGCGTAGGACCCTTGAGAGCTCGCTGTAGCGTTGCAAGTCAAGTACAGGATTGTCTACGGCAGTTGTTACTTGCAGTACATTGGTTTTGATGTCATTGTCTTCCATGTCGTCTAGGTCGTCTCGTTCTGGATGCGCCTGTGGCCATTCTGGTGACGGTTTCTTGAGCCAAGAAGGGCCAGTCCACCACAAGTTGTTTGACTCTAGGTTTGACGCGGAGAGTCCTCTTGTTAGGCAATCTGCCGGGTTTTCTTTACCCGGGCAGAATCTCCAGCGAGCTGTAGGCGTGTTGTTTTGGATTTCCCGCACTCTATTAGCAACAAATGTCTCCCACCGGTGACTTTGACCTTGTATCCACTTCCACGTTATGGTAGAGTCTGTCCACAAGTATACTTCGTGGTCTTGAAGCGACAACGTCTTTTCTACATAGCGCAGTAATCTAGAACCGATGAGAGCTCCCATCAGCTCTAAGCAAGGGAGTGTCAGCTTTTTAAGAGGTGCTACTCGCGCCTTTGCAAGTAGTAGATGTATTTCTACTCTGTTCTCAGAGTCAGATGTTCTTAGGTAGACAACTGCGCCGTAAGCCTTCGGACTGGCGTCAGTGAAGACATGTAGTTCGTAAAACAGCGTAGTGTCTCGGAGTTCCTCGAACAAGAATCGAGATATGGATATGACTTGTAGCTGTGGAATCTCGTTGCACCACGTGTTTCACTCTTGTTGTATGTTTTCAGGAAGACTATTGTCCCAGCCTATCTTTAATTCCCACAGTTTTTGGAACATAATCTTGACTCGGATGGTGAAAGGTGATAGCAATCCCATGATGTCGTAGATTCTATTGGCAGCTTGAAGGACATATCGCTTTGTACTTGATTTCGTTTTCAAGAAGTTCAACGTCGAGGTCAACGACAACTTTAAAGTGTCCTCCTCTGTATTCCAATGCATTCCAAGCACATTGGTGTCTGTCGCTATATCAGTTGGTTGGGGGACTCCTTTTTGGAACAATCTTTGCAGTGTCTTGCTGTTGGATGCCCATTTTTGAAGATTCATGCCAGCTTGTTGCATGATGTCTTGTGTTTCATTAAACAACTTGACTGCTGCTGCTTCACTCTGGGCGCCAGTCAAGAGATCGTCGACATAGAACGATTTCGCTAGAACCTGAGCTTTCTCCGGGTGGTTTTGAACTGTTCGGAAATGATGCTGTAGGGTAGCTGTCAGCAAGAACGGACTGGATGTCGTCCCAAACGGAACGCGGGTCATCCTCCACTCCTGTATTGGTGGTAACCGACCGGTTGTTGTGGGCCTCTTTTCAAACCACAAGAAGCGTAGCGCATCTCGGTCTCTTTCTTTTACTGATATTTGCAGAAATGCCTTCTGAACATCTGCTGTCATCGCTATTTTATTGACTCGGAACCTCAGGAGAACCTGTAATAGGTCGTCAGGTGCCCTTGGTCCCGTTTCAAGAAATCCGTTGAGACTCTCACTTCCTTGCTGGTGAGATGAGGCGTCAAATACGATTCTAATCTTCGCTGTGAGCGCCTCTTCGCGTACTACCGCATGGTGCGGCATGTAGTACTGCCGTCCTGTATTTTTCTTCGCATCTGTAACTCCCTCTGCATGCTCATCCTTCAAATATTGACGGATCACACTGTCGTAAGTGTTCAGCAGGTTTTCATCTCTACGGAGTTTTCGCATCAACCCGTTTAACCTTGCTGTCGCCAGCTCCTTGTTGTCCTGGAGCTCGGTTCTTTTGTTGGGCTTCCAGGGTAGTGAGACTTCATACCTGCCTTCAGTTCAACAAATCGAATCTTCAAATGTCTGTAACACCGTTTCCTGGGACCTATCTTCCTTGTCTGTGATTCCAAGATGTTCCAGGTCCCAAAACGCTGGCAATTTGTTCGTTTCGTCTTCGGTGGTGACTCCTGCATTAAGAATACAGGCCATGACATGGTTTTGTGTTGTCAATGAATAATTTTCGTCCGTTGGTCCTTGCACCGTCCAACCAAGTCGAGTGCTTAGCGCTGTCAGCTGCTGACTCTCACTGCGGATGTTGTCACCCTTCATAATTTTCCATACTTGGTCAGCACCGCTTAATAGGCTGATTCTGAGTGCCCGTTTCGTTTCATCGAAAATGCAAAGGTCAGCCAAATCCTTTCCTTGACTTTGAAGCTCTCCTATGAAAGGGTGGTCCAAAGGAAGCTCCATCATTTGGCTGCAAATCTTCAAGACTTCTACCGCTTCGAAGATGTACTCTCCTTGGTGGTACTGGCTCTTTAGTCTAACCTCCACAAGCTTTCGTCTTTGTTCTTTTGCAGCTTCGGATCCAAAGGTGTTGATGCAAATATTTATGTCGCCGAGAATACGTAGTTGGTACCTTTTGGACACATCTCGGATGAAAGTTCGCTGGCTTCCTCCGTCTATCATTCCTCTTATGTATCTGTACCCACTTTTGCCAGCTATCCAGCCCCGAAACGTTTGAAGTAGGATATGGGGCTCCTTTTGTGTTGTTGATGGAGCGTAAGTATGGAGTGCCTTCGTTTTGCTATTTTGTTCCGTCTCCTTAGTTCGTTGCCAGCGTGGGTCGCACATCGATGTAGCATGTCTGCCTTTGCAAGTATTGCAGACGATTCTCCTTCTGCAATCTCGCGCTCTGTGCCCCTTCATGGTACATTTAAAACATCTCACGTCGTCGGAGAGTTCCTTCTTTTTCGCATCTATCGTTGCATCCGTGTTGCAATCTTCCGACGAGTGTTTTCTGGAAGAGCAGAAAAGGCAGTCTGCTGACTCTTTCGCCCGACTGTGTAGAACAGCTGCGGAGCTTCTTGTACCTTCTCTTCCGGAATCGTACTTCCTAGTGTTAGGTCGACTGTCTTGACTTGTCCTCCCTGTTGTCAGTCCACTTCGTTCTCGACATTCCACTTCAATCTGAAGAAATTTTAAGGTCATCTCCAGATCTCCTGCTGACGTCAGTGGCTCTGTAGCTCCGCTGAAGGATTTTCGTCGATGATATTCGATGACGACGTCGGTTGGTAGAACCTTCATTAGTATCTCGTTCAGCATTGCAGAGTAGGACATAGCGTGAACTCCGAGATCTTTTAAGCCACGAATCTGTAGCTGAACGGCGTCGAGAAGTTTTCTTAAGGCACCAACGTCGTTTGATGATGGGACCTTCTGGAGCGTTCGGAGTTTTGAAAGATGGTCTTGCTCGATGAGTTTCTTGTCTCCAAATCGCGCTCGGAGTATAGCCAACGCGTCTGTGTAGCTGGAGTTAGACCCATGAAGGCCAGCGATGGCTCTAAATGCGGGTCCGGTGAGAAGGGACCGGAAGTAGTGAAACTTGTCAGCCTGACACAGTTGAGGATGCTGGTCAATCGTGTTTTGGAACATATCCCAGAACGCTTGCCACTGAGAAGTGCTGCCGTCAAATTTCAACATCTCGAATTTCGGAAGTCTTGCTCTGGCGTTCTCGGTGGTGGTCGGAAGAATCACCGGTGTTCTGTTTACCTCTACCACACGGGCTTCTTGATTCTTCAGAATCTCAATTCGATGACTCAGCATTGCAAATGCCTGCGTTGAGTTGTCCTGGTAGGTCATTACCGCTTCATACTCTTGCTCAAGGTGTTCGTCGCTTACGAAGGATTCGAACTCTCGATCTAAGATTTTCAGCTCTTCGATATTTGTCGTTAATCTCTGAAGAAGTGTTGTGAGCGAACTAAGATCGTGATCGTCATTTGCAAGAGTTGCCCTGACCTCGTGGATGAGCCGAGTGGTCTGGGCTCGACGAGAGGTTCGCTTGGTCCGTACTCGCTCCATGTGACTGTCTTCAGAAGCTCCTTGAGGTCTCGGTTGGCTTTCAGTAGCGTTGAAGTAGCCTTCCCGGGTTTCGGCACCATCAAGTTCCTGTAAAAACTTCCTCCAACAGCCTCTGATATCACAAGCGATTTAATCTGAGCAGCTCGTCATAGCGGTTGCACGATCAGTCCAGAGAAAAAAAAATGTGCGTGCCCGGGCCTCTGATGGCACGAGATCCTCCTTTTCCTCGCAGGTCTTTTCCCCAGGCGCGAGATGCTGTTATGTTTAACAGGCCAAGCACTCTTGTTCGCATGTGCTGTAGTTCCTTTCAGCTGGCGTCAACGAGCGGCTGGCGAAGGCCACCCGTCGGAGTACACCTTCGTGCTGTTGAAGCAGGACCGCGCCCAAGCCCAGATTGCTGGCATCTGTTTGGATCAGAAAGGGCTTGTTCAAGTCGGGTAGCTTGAGTTCAGCTGTGTCCGCGAGCGCTCGGGAGGTGCGGCGAAAGGCCGCTTCCTGCTCGGGACCCCAGCTCCAACTCACGGACTTTCGCAATAGGCGTGTCAGTGGTGCTTGAAGCGTCGCGCAGTTTGGGATGAATTGGTGATAGAAGTTCACCATTCCCAGGTAGCGACGGAGGGAGCTCACGTCGGTTGGCGCAGGAAACTCCAGGATTGCCTGTAATTTGTCGAGATGTGGCGCAAGGCGCCCGCGATCAAGTTCGAACCCGAGCAAGGCGATGCGGGTTTCGGCTATTTGAGCCTTTTCGGGGTTCAGGGTCATTCCCGCGGCTTTTAGCCGGTCGAGTACGTCTTCGAGATGACGTAGGTGATCTTCGAAGGTGTTGGAGTACACGACAAAGTCGTCGAGATAGGCCATGGCGTGTTTCCATTTGGCTTCTCCCAGTACTCGGTCGATCAATCGCTGGAACGTCATTGGCGCTCCGCACAGACCGAAGGGCATTTGTGTGAATTCGAAAAGCCCGCGGTGACAACAGAAGGCTGTTTTTGCCTCGTCACCCGGCTCCATCCGAACCTGGAGGTAGCCTCGGCTAGCGTCCAGGGTGGTGAAGTGCCGCGCACTGCCCAAGTTGGACAGAATCGAGTCGATGCTCGGTAGCGGGTATCGTCCTTTCGTGTGAGGTCGTTCAGACGGCGGTAGTCCACGCAAAGACGTGAGCTGCCGTCTTTCTTCGGGACCAACACCACGGGGAATGCCCAGGGGCTGTTAGATCGCCGGACAACTCCGGTGTCGATCATTTCGCCCAGGGCACGGTCGATGGCTTTTCGTTTAGCCAAGCTTACGGGTCGCGCGTTCTC